TTTCTGAACAAACCAGAAATCTTTAATGAGCAGCTGGATTTGTCTCGCTTTAACTGGCTGAGTTAATGCAACATCGAAGCAGCTGGAATCCACAGCTGTGCGTGTTCATGGAGCTGCCTTTTCACCTGCTGGACGTCACTACCTGACAAGTTTAACTGTCTTCAGAACATTGCAGAGGCCTTATTGACAGTGTTTGGCTCTAATATCTGTGTGAGCAGATTTTCTCTCACGAGTCCTCAGGCAGCCTCTGAATGCTGGACACTGGGAGACCTGTGTCTCTGAGTGGGAGACCAGAGATCACATTAACATGTGTGTCTCTGTATTAACAAACATGCCATATTGGCCCAGTTTATTTTTCTTATCATTGCTGTGAGGAGACCATAAATAGCATTTGTATTTTCTGTTGTACAGTTCATTTGCTGTTATGGATAAAAAGTCTTTTTTTTGTCTCAAAATAGCTGATAACTATTCGCTGATAGCTGCCAACAAATATAATTCTATAAAGTTTTTCTATATAGTTTGTAACTGTTAATATAGAGCGTTATTAAATGTATTGCTAATGCAATCATATGGCACATTGACTTCTGAGGAAATTTTAAATGGCACTCGCCATCAGAAAGGTTGCCGACCCCTGCCATAGAGCTTGTTCTCAAGAAGGCGTAGGAGTTGCCTGACATGGGACTAATTTTCATGGGTAGACTTGGAGAAAATCAGGATGTCATCTAAATAAACAAAGACAAAATTATTAAGAAAGGCCCAGAGGAAGATCTAAAGACATGGAGGGAGAGTCCAAGTTAACAGAAGGGAGGCTGATTTCAAACAATGGTGATGACATCAGATAATCCAGCCAACAATACCCTTGGCTGGATTATCTGATGTCCAGCCAACAGTATGTTTTCTGTAGTGACTGTTTAAATACTTTTGATCTTTTCATCTCACTGTTGCTAGTGGCTCCATGAACAAAGCAAAGAGGACGAGGACATCCTTGCTTGGCCCCACTGAGAAGTGGGAAAATTTGAAATCAAATGAGGGTAACTAGGTTTTGGTTAAGTTTAAAGTGCCAATTAATAAATTAGTGTTAAAAGTAATTTCCAATTAACCCTAACATTTAATGATTGCATCAAGATCTTAAAAGGATACCTATTGTCAAGTAAATTTCTGGTTGCTTCTTTAAAAAAAATTTTTGTCGCCTTGCAAAATTTTCTTACAAGTCTGTGTTTGGGTTATGGGGTGACCAAGAACCAGACGAGCACAAGGTGTCTTTAAAGAGTATTAAAAAATCTACTTAAAAGTCTGCTACACTCCTGTTACCTTGTTTCTACGTAAAAGGTCTATGAACAGCCAGATCAGGGTTCATCCTTATCAAACACTTTTGAATTTGGTGATCAAATTATCAAAAGAAAGATTTGGGTCAGTCTTTAACCTTGACACCATATCAGCTCCAGAGCAACTCCACAAAGAGTCATTTCTGGACCGTCTAATTCATAGATTTTAGTTTACTGCCAGAACACTTGGAAACTAAGATAAACACTGCATTTCTTTCTCAAATCCCCTGTGAAGACTTATGTTGTCAAAGGCTTCTCTAGAGGCTGCTGTGGTTATAATTAGAGGATGGGGCTACCTTTTGGTTCTGATCCAGATGACTTTATCATACCTTTTAATGCCACAAGCCAATGAATGATGGTGTTTTAACTGGATTAAGATTACATGTATTAAACACAACTATAGATATGATGGATCTTGAATAAAACACTGTATAAAGGAGATCTTTATACAAAGGTCTCTATAGTTTGGTTTTCTGTAGTGACTTTAAATACTTTTGATCTTACTGTTGCTAGTGGCTCCATGAACAAAGCAAAGAGGAGGAAGACATCCTTGCTTGACCCCACTGAGAAGTGGGAAAATTTGTGAAATCAAATGAGGGTAACTAGGTTTGTTAAGTTTAAAGTGCCAATTAATAAATTGGTGTTAAAAGTAATTTCCAATTAACCCTAACATTTAATGATTGCATCAAGTGTTAACTCCAATTCTGGGAAAAATAAAAAAATAAATAAAAAGTTCTCACCTTTCTAAGCACCCAATTTCACCGCTGTGAAATGGTCACGGACTTGGGGTGAATGTTGTTTGGTAACCGTTGTCATTTACCTGAAGAACTGGTTAAGTTTGCTATACCAGTCAGAAACCTGTGCATCCAAAGTAATGTCTGACAAGCAAGATGGCGTAAAACAAAAAACAAAACACTTAAATCATGTTTAATACAATGCTTTTATTGAAAAGTAAGAAACTTTTTAATATTCAATTTAAATTAAAAAACAAAAACCAAGTGTAGACTTGTGTTGAAGTGTGGTCACTGTCAGTACCGTGCGTACCTTCCACTCCCACCTGAAGGAGGAATAACCAATGCAAACTTCAATAAGATGTGAAATTGTGGTAAACTGACACCAAACACTTTTCTACTTCGCACTCAGGCAGTTTCATTCAAGCACCTCTTTCTTTTTCTAAACACTTAACCTTCACAATTTCATACAGTACTTTTATCTTTGCCTAAATACTTTCCAACATTCACAACCACGCCAAGGATACTTGGACATGCAGACCAGAGGATCAAACCATCGACTAGTCTACTAACCAGGTCCAACCTTTGTTAGCTTACCATCAGCCCACCATTAAGGATATCAAGTTAATGATGTTGTGATATAGAACTGTAGTGAAACGTTATTTTATACACAATATATACCTCAGTTTGAATTGTGAAGTTACTGCATAATTATTGATGTTACATGATCAGCTACACAAACCAAAATGACCAATTGGTACTCAATTTTAAAATCAGATCCGCCCCATGTGAGCACAATTTTCCATCCAAAGACAAGCCAGGATCATTTAGTGACTCACCTTTCAACTTCCCAGGTCTGCTTCCGTATCCACTGCAGTCTTCCTGCTGGCCGTTATGCTTTTCTGTCAACAAAGAAGTAGTGTTGTCTCCAACTTAATACGAATGACCGGTCCTACATGGCCACTCTTTCATTAGATGGCCCAGATGCATTCTGCTGCAATTTTTCATCAGGTTATTAAAGTACAGTGCGTCAGTTCTAGGTACAGTATACAACAGTGCATTCCCAAATTAAGGAGTCATCTGGCACTCCAAGATTTTTGGTCAGACTGTCAAATATATAAATCAAAGACTTGAAGCTAAGGCCATCTGAGAATAAAGTTTGCCTTGCACGTGTGCAGCAAACTTGCTCACCATGGGCATGAAGCTACTTAAGTCACACTGTAGGACTGAACAAGTTTGCACTACAAAAATGTGACAGCAAAGATGCAGCGAGTCTTTTTTGGGCAGGCCTTCAGATGACCCATGATTATTTTAATGTAACGCTTGCATCTCATTACCTGGACCTCTGTTTCGCCACTGACCAGTCCTCTTTGAATTTTTCTGATTGCAGAATACTTCAGCTTTTCCATCATTTGCCTTTTTCAAGTCTATGGAGATAAATTACAATTAGAGCACTATACCCGCATGAAAGGAAAAAACAATTTAAAAACTAAATAAATCAGACCACCTGGATATTTATGAGGTTTTCTGTTTGACCCCACGCCTCCCTTTAACTCCTCACATAAACACTTCAGACCCTGTAGTTCAGTACACTGGATTGCACAGTCTACTAAATTTCCCTTTGATGGTGTCACTGGAGCCATCTTCTGGTCAGCTGTTGGCACGCCCAGTTCCACATTTCTCATTTGACCATCTACTTTTTGTGCGCCAGTCGCCACCTCCATTTGCGTGTCATTTTGGAGAGTCATTTGGGAAGTGGATGAGACTTTGTCCTCTGCTGCGGAGTTAATGAGGCAGGTTTCCTTTCTCTCAACTGAGCTTTTCTCCTCTTGCTCATATATAAGAGTTCCCTGGTTTGGGCTTTGGTTAGCCTCAGGATTTGAAGACCCATGGTCATTCATCTCTTCATCAGTGGAGGCAGTTAAAATTATACCCTGCAGGGTAGTAAGTGAAGTTAAAGGACGCGTTTCTGAAGGAACTGTGCTTTGGCTTTCTTCAGCTCCTTTTGTTTCAGAGACTTCAGGTTCACACACCATGTCTGGGTTCGTTGGAGGACTTTGCTTCTTAGCTGGGGTACTAAAAGTAAGAACACTTTCTGACACCAGAACAGAGTCAGGAGAAGAAAATCTTGAAGATTGCCTTCTTTCTTTAGCAAATGAACCAATCAAGTCATCTTTTTTGGTTGACCATTTACCATTGTCAGCCCTCTCCATCTCTACAATGACTTCAGGTTCAAATACGCTATTCTGCTGTAGCCACTCCTTAGTAGGAATGAAAGGAGCTAGAGACTCCACAGACCAAACTGACTCATTAATTTTTCTATTCATCTGACATCTACTTAAAAATGTGTGCTTTGGAGTTGTCTCTGTAGGCTCTTCATGCCTCTCACATGCATTTAGTGCCTGCAGAATTTCATCTCCATTAGATAGGGAAGGTCTAACAAGTAGACCAGAATCTGCATCTCTTGTTGACAGTGAAAAGGGTTCTAAAAGAGAAGGAAGTTTGAGGATCTTAAAGATCATTTCACTGTCCTTAGAACTTGAAATAACTTCGGTATCTACATTATCAGCACTCCTAACCACCACTGCATAATTCTTTGGCTTACTTGGACTTTGATAAAAAGCCTTTTCATTTTCATAACATGGACTCTCATGATTATTTTGAAGGAGTGCCTCAGCTGCCATCGTCATCGTTTTCTGTGATGCATCACCTCCCCAGCTTAGAATGTCGGGAACAGAGATGCGCCTCTCTTTGACTTCATCCTCTTTTTGAGAAGAGCTACAAACTGGCCCCATGCTCTCCTGAGAACTCACTGACCACATGTTGCAATGTGCATTTCTGCAAGGAGGGATAAGAGAGGACTCCTGAACAGCACCATCCGTACATCCCTGCATTTCTTGAGTTGCCCTTCTAGATGGCTGAACAGTCATCCCTGTAGGATGCACCATGTGACAGTCATGTATGACTCCGTTTGTGCCAGCCCCTTTCACCTGTTCTTTTGCCTCAGTACTGGACAACATATAGGTCTCAACCTCAGCTAAGCCCTGTTTCTGGGAACCAGAGCTTAAGGATGAAGGAGAATTGGAGGCAGTTGCACGTCCAGAGTCTGAGCTGAGAGTTGGGCATCCCTCATCATAGCCACCTCTGTGTATGGGTTCTGTCTGGACCTCAGAATTCACCGTTTCTCTAACAGAGGTAGCATGAGGCAGGCGAATTCTACGAGTCTGGTTTAAATTTTGAAACGACCCACAAGGAGCATGACTGTGGACTTGGGGATGAAGCAGGCGTCTATAGTCGACTGGTTGTACCTGAGGGTGTGGTACAATGTAAGCTGGAGACTCCAGGTAAGGGGGAGGGGGAAGTGGGGGCATGACCATACCATATCCTTAAAGAGAAAAGAAAAAAAAAATGAGTGAAGGCGATCATTTTGGAATAATATACAGACAGTGCCAGCTTACAGTTTAATTACAAGATATAAACATGTTACTGCTCTGTATGTGATGATAGGAGCTGCAGAGCCATTTCACACATGTTAGAAAGACTGAATCTTGCATGCATACATGTAGAGAGCGCGCAAGGGGGACAGTATGGGCTCAAAGTGTGGTCATAAATAATTTGTACTTGTAAATCAAATGCGCATTTGTGAACTGAGTTTTGTAACCTTGTAAACCAAAATATCTGAACATTTTATGTTTGTGCATCTATAGATGAGAATATTTGTGTGTGTAAAAATATTTACATAAGTTACAAATTTCTTCGTTAAGGTCTAGTTGCACACAAAGCAAAAAGAAAAATACGTGTAAAACTCTGCGCTCAGATTCCCTGGCTGTTTGTTACTCAACTTACACATACAAAACTTAACTTTTCTTCCTTTCAGCTGATTGTGATTGACATGACATTGACCAAATTTAACGATCCAATCAGAGAACAGATGGTTTGGCTGTTGGAGAGGTGCTTTACTGAGCTTCAGGTCCTGGAAGAATAAATGCCCTTTTACTACTACTGTGCAATACCACTGATTTCCTTTCTGATCCCAAGTAAAATTCAGGGTGGTATAGACGATACTGATCCGATACACTGTACAAAAACTTAATGTTTCATGGTATTTCATGATACAACATCTAATTGTATTATGAAATTGTAATAGAGCTTCATAATGATTACAGGACATCAGACTACTTGTTCTTATTGCTTAATAATGCAGAATTATCATATAGAAATAAAAAACCTGAACTTGTGCGCTATTTGAGCACGTTGCCTGCCTGCAGCACTAAAGGACTCCGCGAGAGACGTCTGTCTCTAGTAGCACCTGTCCCACTCAACATAATTATATTCTGTGATATGATTTACTCTGAGGTATTTCATAAGGTTAATGGTTTTGCCACAACACCTCACTGTCTTGCCACATGTATCGCAAACCGTGTCTTGGCTGAGGTAAAATACGTCCACATATGACTCAGTTTACGCTCAGCCATTGTTGTGAGTGTGCACGCCAGGTAGTGATGTGC